AAAAATAAGTTCATTTTTAATTGATTGGTAATTAATTAACAATTAATTAATTGGTAATTTGGGCCAATTCACCTACAAGCCTGAGGGCCAAGAAAAATTTGTCTGAGGCCCGCATTTGGCCCAAGGGCCATAGTTTGGACAAGCCAGTTATAATGAATGGAAATCTGGCAAGTCAAGCTGATCATGATCATGTCAGTTTCTGCCTTTTGTCTTTGCGTGACTCCTTATTTTTGGCTCATGATACAAAGGCAGAGAACAGGAATTGACAAATAAGGGTCAAAGGTCAATTTTGAGCTCAATATTTTTTCCATACAAATATTTCTTCATTATAGCAACTAGTTGTCAAATTTTGGGAGCCCTTCCAATTATCCTTTTGTGGCCATACTGGCTTGTCAGAACCTGATCCTGTCAGATCTCAGGAGCTCAGCAAGACCAGGCCTGGTTACTCATTGAATGGGAGACAAAAAACTCACAAAAAATTGTGTCCTTAGGTAAGACACTTAACCCATATTGCCTAGTATGAACGTGGTGCATGCGTCAGTCATGATGGTGGTCAGAGGGACTGATGCCTCTGGTTGGCAGCTGAGCTTCTGTCAGTCTGCCCCAAGGACATATGAAAAGCACTATATAAATAACTACTTACTTACTTTTGTCTGGACAAAACATAAACTTTGAAGTTATTTTTCTCAGTTTCACACTCTGGAGAGTTAAGGTCTTTTACCTTTGTATGGCAGAATGGATTCTTCACTATGGATATGTTTCTACCAAGAATGTTCCACAGTGTGACATTAAACAGCTCCACCTTACGTTTATTCAATTACAGGTGAATTATAAAAAATACCTAGAAAAACAGACATTGTGAGTGTGAGTGGGGTCGCCTCTCCATAACTCTGACCCGTAATCTCCATGAAGATAGAAAAGTTTAATCCCAGACTGTGAAACATTCCAGACAAAGCAATAACATCTCCATGAAGAAAAGCATTTGATGGATACTCCATCTGAAAAAATACAGTACACAAAGCATAATTATTACAACATCTTTTCGGGTATTTTTGTAATTCAGAATATTATCAGTCAAATGTGTGATGTGAACATGTGTGCCTTGTATGTGGGGGCACTGTTGGATGTTACACTGTCCCTTTAAGTACTAGAAGGCCTTGGTTTCATGACTGTTGTTTTGTGGTGTATGAAGTGGCGTGCTGTGTGCAGTGCGGTCTATAGTGACGGTCTATATTCAGTGTGGCTCTTCAGGTTCAGGCTCTTGTGTGTCTCTGGTTGAAGCTGCAGTCACTTTAAACACAGGCCGTTTGTCCAGACGTGCAGCTGTGGACGTGAGGAGAGCGAGGAGTGAGCGCCGTCTCTGCCTGGTACAGCACAGCACGCTCCAGAACAACAGCTCGAGACACGGGGTGAATGGAAGGACTAGACCAGGACTTAACCAGACTAAACTAGGATTAAAACAGGACTAAACCAGGATTAAACCAGGATTAAACCAGGACTAAACCAGGACTAAACTAGGATTAAGACAGGATGAAGACAGGACTAAACCAGGACTAAACTAGGATTAAGACAGGATGAAGACAGGACTAAACCAGGACTAAACTAGGATTAAGACAGGACTAAACTAGGACTAAACCAGGACTAAACTAGGACAAGACCAGGATTATCCATCCATCCATTTTCTTCCTCTTATCTGGGGCTGGGTCATGGAGGCAGTAGTCTAAGCAGGGACTCCCAGACTTCCCTCACCCCGGACACTTCCTCCACCACCTCTGGGGGGACCCCGGCCACAGAAAGACATAATCTCTCCAGCATGTCCTGGGTCTTTCCCAGGGCCCCCTTCCAATGGGACATGCCCAGAACACCTCCCAATGGAGGCAAGGAGGCATCAGAACATATGCCCTTCCCTCAGCTGCTAGCCTCAAAGTGGAGGAGCAGCGGCTCTACTCCGAGCTCCTCCCATGTGACTGAGCTCCTCACCCTATCTCTAAGGGAGCACCCAGACACCCTGCGGAGGAAACTCATTTCATTAGTTAGACCAGGTTAGACCAGGACTAAACTAGTACTAAACTGGGACTAAACCAGGACTGAACTGAGATTATAAACTAAATCTCAACCTCAAACCACGTATTGTTTTGTTTTTAATGTACATTTTATGATCTGTAGTTAAAGTTCCTATATTACACAAAATTGACTGTTGTGTGCATTAAACCATGTTAGAAAGTTGTTACCTCCTCAAAAACACACCTGCTGTTTTGTTTTGATTCATTCACACATGTTGTAACTCTTTATTATTAGTGTGTGCACTCCTCCAAAGTTAAAAATGCTGTTCCACCTCATGATGAGACGGAGGCTCCTTTTACCTTTTATTCAGCAGAGTTTGGCAATTCCACATCTGAAATGATGCAAATAATTGAAGGTGTGGAGTTTAAAAACACAGTGGAGCATTTTCTGTATTACCAAATGAAATCACAAAGTGGAATAGTGTGTGTTCCATTTGAAAGAACTCATCTTAAATATACAGGGTTCATGTGTTAAACATGTGTGAATGAAACAAAACACAAGTGTGGGGATCAGATGAAGAGGAGAGGTAGAATCATAAAAAAAAAGTTGAAAACAGCAGTACAGGGGCTCTATGAGGGTTTAAACTGAAATATCAACTAAAAATGTACAAGTGGGCAAGGTACAAACCCGAGGCACACGATGAATATATTAAAAGTCCGTTATTACATGGAGGGACGCCAACGTGTTTCCCCCAGCAGGATGGTCTTCGTCAGGGCATAAGCAGCTCCAGGTCTGTTTGTGATGAGGAAACAACATTTTAACAAAGGTCAGAAAACAGTGTAATATGGGCCCTTTAGAGTTTGACATCATTTGACTTTAGATGTCAGATTTCTCTCTTTCGTTGCTCAGTTGACCGCTCATTCACATTCACTTAGTTTTTCTGACTTTGGTCCAGCACTGAGACACATTCAGCAGGATACTTTTCAGTGGAGGACTAAGGCTTGAGTTACAATTCATTTGACCGACATGTCCGGAAAGAAAATAAATAGGTCTCAAATGGAAGCCTTGAAAAAACAACAACTTACTATAATATAAAGTTATAAAGTTCTTTCTTCCTCAAAAACAGACCTGGAGTTGTGTTTTGTTTCTTTCACATGTCTGAATAACTCTTTATTAATAATGTGTCTACATCTCCAAAGCTCAGAATGTTCTGTTCCATCTTGTGAGAGGTAGTTTTCAAGTTAACCTTTAGTTTAGCAGAGACTGACAATTCCAGGTCTGAAAACATCTAGTGAAGGTATGTGGAGTTTAAAAACACAGTGGAGCACTTCCTGTTTGAGCACGTGACATCAGAAGGAGGACCAGTGTCCCAGAACTCAGCCTAAATGTGCAGGGTTTGTTTGTTAAACATGTGTGAAAGAAACAAAACAAAACTCCAGGTCTGTTTGTGATGAGGAAACTACAGAGGTGGTCTCAAGTCTCAAGTAAGTCTCAAGTCTTTGACCTCAGGTCCGAGCCAAGTCCCAAGTCAAACACAGGCAAGTCCAAGTCGAGTCTCGAGTCACTGGCTCATGAATCCAAATCAAGCCCAAGTCGACTGCTTTAAGTTTCAAGTAATTTCAAGTCTTTAAAGCAAAAAAAGTACCAAATACAGCTTAGATTTTTGCAATTTATATGAATTTTAAACTAAATTGTACTTAAAAAGTCATGGTATATTTATATAAGAGTTGCAGAAATTATTTTTTTTTCTTTTTAAATGTGTTGACAAGATCTTCGTGTGAATTATTGTGATCAGAACAGAAAGAATTCAGATTTAAAAGTGCTTAATAACAGTTAGTTTGTTGTGTAGTCTGCACTGGAAGGATCATGTTCTCTGTAGTTTCCTGTTGTACTGTATATTACTCTATTTTACTATATATTACTGTATTACATTTGAGTACTTCAGTTTCATCCAAAGTACTAAACAGAAGTGGGAGGGACATGTTCCAGTTTGTTCCTGTAAAATTCAGCACTGCATTTATCAACTGAAAAAATATTTTCTAAAACCATATTTTTTTTTCAAGTCTTCTCAAGTTACAGGCCTCAAGTCTGAGTCAAGTCCAAGTCGTGTCCAAAGTCTTAGTCCATTTTATCAAGTCTCCAGTCCTAAAAATAGTGACTCAAGTCTGACCCGAGTCCAAGTCACGACTTGCAAGTCCCCACCTCTAGGAAACAACATTAGAACACACATCAGAAATGAGTGTAAAATAGACCCTTTAAGAATCAAGAAACACATATATTTCAGTTTGTAAAGATGTAAACAAGAATGCAAAAGGAAATCCCCAAATAATTGTTTGTTGTGACCATTTAGTGTGATTCTTGTTGATAACCTGGTGACCTGATGACCTTAACATTTGTAGGTTAATGCAAAAATATAAAACATGCATTTTTCATGTTATTATATTATATTATATTATATTAATTATGTTATATTATATTATATTATATTATATTACGTTATAGGACTGTAATAACAATCTATACCCAGGTACTAATCAATTCTGTAACCTAGTATGAAAACAAAAAGTCATGAGAGTGAGTACATATAATGAAATAAATGGGTTAGGGTAAAAAATCTTCCCAGAATAGCTCTAGTCTATAACAGTATAAAGAAGTAGAATAAAACAAAACAAAAAAATATCTACAGCTTTAGTTTTGAAAGAGTTTTTACAAACAAGGTACTGATGCACATGGTAGTGGGTAGTGCTCAGTTGCATTTACTTGAGTAACTTTATATATATATATATATATATATATATATATATATATATATATATATATATATATATATATATATATATGTAATTAATTTATTTCTTTTAAGAAATTGTACTTTTGAGATAATATTTTACTGTTACTCTTACTTGAGTATGTTTTTTTTGGCTATATCCACTTCTGTCAATGTATAGACTCCCCACTATATTCTTTGATTATAAAAATAACTCAAAACTTTGAAAAAATGTTAAAATGTAAGTTTATTTTTAAAGATTGGACAAGATGTAATTGGAATAACATTGTCTAAAATTGATAATGTAGCAGTGATAAGCGAGTTCAGTGGCCTCTTTTGGTTTATTATTTTTAACATTACATTCAGTCTATGAATCTTCCCCCATGTACAAATAAGGCAAAGCTAAATGATGATAAAGTTTGGCAAAAAATTACATTTTATATTATTGCAGAATGATATAAAGACTTTTATGCAACTTAAGGTATGTAAAAAATATATATCCAAAAATATATCCAAACACAACAACACAAGCAAAATCTGCCAAGATATTCTTTTCTGATTGGCTGACAGGTGAATATTGAACTTATAAACTATTATATTATTTAATTTAAGTTTTCAAAAATAGATCAGTGTCCAAAAAAAGTAATTTAGTGTTCGGCTCCAGTCAAATGAAGTCAATCTGGAGCCAATGTCCGAGTATGCGTATCATAGCAACCAAAGAGCCAATCAGGTGCGAGGCTGCTGAAGGTAACGCCCCTTCCTGGCAGGGAGCGGGCACTTAGCTACACTGTCAATCAAACCTGTCGCTAACGCTAGACATAGGGAGCGCGGGGAAAGAAGGCACCAGTTTGTCTGTTATTAATGTTCATAAATTGATAAATATTGATGAAATAGTGAAATAAAAACACCAGGATCATGAAGAGCAGGTTAATATGAACATTTTAAAACCACATTTTTATGTTTTTAACAGCAATTTCAAAGAGAGGGCAACAGTTTTATCAATAGAAAGTGAAATGGAGCTATGGATTCAGTGGAGCAGGAAGCGTCCCCATGCTCACTTCCTATTTAAAATGCGGCTAGCAGGCTAGCTATGTCCATTTATATATACAGTCCTTCAGACTTACCTGTAATTTGTCTAAATATCTGGGTAAAATTCTGTTTCATTGTTGTGTTGTTTATCATCCATCATTTTCACCACCATCGCAGTCGAAATTGCATCACTCTGCCCCGATTTCTCCTCAAACCAACTGTCTAGAGCTCTTTTAGCATCGAAGCTAGCTATGGGCGGCCCATTCACCGCTAGCATTAGCATGTCGTTCATCTGCTCCAGCGTTAGCCTGGGTCGACTGTTTCTTCCCGCCTTTAGCATCGCCGCACGTCCCTTTTCGTAGCAAACAGTTGAACTTGGGAGCACTTTTACAAACTGGGCGACTATACTTAAGATCTGATAACGTTGCTTGTTTGTGGAGATGTGACTGAGGATATCTTTAAAACCGCTAGAGTTGTAATTGAACTTTAACCCTTGCCATTCACATGTTATATTGTTCCTAGCTTCGGAACAGGTTAGCTCTTGTCTAATTGAGGGAAATGTCTTCAAATGTCCACAGATGATTTGGATTTCCTCCTCTCCAAAAGTGTGCAATTCCTCTGTATTTTCAGGCCACGCAGACAAGTCAAAAATCTTGCACGCTTTGGCGAATGAACAACTTTGCAATTCTAGATGTTGACTCAAGATACCCTGACTTTTGTTGCAAATCTTTTCACGAATTGATTGAAATTTTGATTCCGCAACAAGCAAGTTTTTCAGATCCACGCCATTAAAACTATCTCGAAAGTTGTCTTCAAACTCTTGGAGATACTCGCCTGGGGACTGGCTAAGCAGGCCTATCTCCTGAATAGCTTCTTCGATTTTGTTTTCCACTTTGGACACCAGTACGACCTCACCTTGAAATGTTACAGCCAATCTTGACAAAACAGCAATGATATCCAACATAAAGTACATCAGTTTGACGGATTGGTAATCTAGAAGAAACTGGAGAAGCGATAAAGCAATGGCAGAAGCGTCGGCACGTTGCGTTTGTGTGCTTATTTCTTTCAAGTGAGCGACAACTTCGAAATAATCTTTTATCAGAGCGTTGAGCACATTTGGTTCGCTGATGATCCAACGAATTGCTCGGATATCGCCAAGAAATTCAGTTTCTTCAGACAGAGTTGGTGCGGCGTCCCTTAGCTCGGACATCATTCGAGGAGAGTAGCGATAGAAACTCAGTAACTGTTTAAGATTGTTTTCCAAATCTTCCAAACATGACAGCTCTTTGCCGCTAAGTGCATCCAGAATTTCAAGATGCGGTCGACTTATCATGATGGGAAGACACAAAATCCATGGGAATATCTTCTGCAATGCAACGTACAAATCCGCTCTGGTTGCTAAAGAAATATTTCCGCCGTCTACCCCAAATCCGACCACTAATAGCTCCTGGAATTGCAAGCCCGTACCACTAAAAGCTTGCTCTAACGCTTGAAGACAGCCTTCAGCGTTCGCGATCGACAATCTTTGCAGCGATAGAAGTTCGGTATTGGGAGAACCATCATTGGCCAACAACTGGACGTAAACCGCTACCGTGTCCGAAAATAAATCGTTGTTTTGCGCATCCATAATAACACTTAAAAATGGCGACAGTCGCATTTTCTCAGCTAAATCTTCTCTTAATGCTCTTGCGATGTGGTGA